ATAATTTTACAGTTTCCATCAAGTTCAACATTCGTGAGGCATGGATGTGCGAGATTTGAATGCAAACAACGCATCAGTGACACGGTCAGAATCGAGCTTAGGCTATTGAGTTCACAAGTGGTTTTTGTTGTAATTTAGTAAGTAATTACAATTGCTCTATAAAGCCAACACAGCCATGTAACAACTCCATCTGTCCGTGAGTGTCCTTTTTAGCACCGTCTCATAGTATGCTAATTGTATTTTTATACCAAATCATCGAATACCAAACAGTACTCAGTTAAGATTCGATATCGTCGTGATGGATCAAACGCACTCATAAAATCATATTTCAGCTACGATAAAGTTTCACAATTGCTCGTTTTTATCGATCATCTCAACTTTCATTCGACAAGGCGAATTGTTTTCCAGTTTGTTTGCGGAGGATTGACGGATCACCAGGAATGCCACAAAATGGTAGCTCTATAATGTGCTACCGAAAAAATTTGTGCAAGGCTCTCATAAGAGCTCTTTAAAAGGGGAAACGTTATTATCAGACTAAACAAATCCCCAGAGAACACTCAGTATTGGACAGATAAAGTTGATCTGGCCATTGTACTCGTGCTATAAGATTGTTCATTGGTTGAATGCGTAGCACCGTTAAAGTCGTCGCCAATTTTTTTCGATCATCTTCGAATCAACTGATTTCTCGATTTTCCACTGTTTCATTTTCAGCAGCTCATTTCTTGAGTCGTCCTCAGCTGCCGAAGGTGCATAGCAAAGTCCCTTGTAGCATGCGGATGCTTCCGGTGGGCATTCGCTACATCGTTTCTCGTCGTCAACGGCCCATTTGAAAGCTGGTACCTGAACCGGTTTGATCACAATTATCAATTCGAATACATTTCGTCTGTGCCTCATTTTGAAATCATCCTTCGGTTGTTGGAAATTGAAGTGAAGCAGATTCATCGAAAAGTCAATGCTAACCGAGAAGAATTGACCGCTTCCGGTAACGAAAACGGTGTTTCCCTGCGGATTATAGTGACAAACAAAAACGTGTCGGTGTCCTCGACCTTCAACGCCCAAAACGTCACGACACTGCGCATAGCCGCATCCCACCAGATTGGTTCTAGCCCATACCATCTGAAATGCTTACTTCGAGTTGTTAACATGCAATGCACAGTGATCATTCCCATCCCCAGTGAAATAATGAATATCCTTCAAGCGTTTGCTCTGATCGCTTGAATGTCGGCGATTTCCTGATCACTTGAATGTTGTGATCACTTGAAATATTCCACGATGAAGGTTGGTATAAAGAAACATTAGACTGTCTGCAAGGAAATCCAGATGCTCACAAAATCTTACTGTCCTCTCTCATATAGAATGCAGCCAGGCTGATGGTTTGATAAAAAAAATTGGTGCAAAATGTGGTTGAATTCTATGTAAAAATCAGATGATGAAACATGGTTTGATCAAAAAATACGTCACAAAATCTATAAAAGTAGATGAGTATTTTAGTGTCTAACCTGAACATAATGACCGCAACAGTGCTTGTAAGCGTGTTTGCATTGACATTTTGAATCATAAACCTCATTGAACCAACGTTCGACGGCTTCTGAATAGTTGGCGAATGGTGCGGCCCAGATATTTTCACCAACATTAACGCGGTCATGGCTATGCCTACAAACCACTTACTTCCTCTCAACACTCACGTCTACAATTGAAACCCTCAAACCAGCATCGATATCGTTGAAGTGACCAAATTCTTGCAGAATATGTTGATCATAGATCATATGAGTACTTATCAAATGTAAAATCATGTAAGAGATTATTCTAAATCCATTTTTGTCGAATGCTATTATACTAAACAAATTAGCGCGATCTTTTTTTGAAATTTTCATACAAGAATTCAGAAATTGATTTGAGCAATTTAAACCTCTGATCGCTTTGATCAAAACGTTGAACTAATTTATTAATAAGGTTTTTGGTCACTGAAGTGTCAAATAGAAATTTCAAGTGAACTCTCCGAGCGACAAACCAACCTGAAATCACACCGATTCGCGTGACGTTGTGCTGATGCAGCCAGCTCATCTGACCAATACACCATCCTCATGTCAGTTGCCGGAACCTGCAATGATCACGAACAATTGCGTACGTGCATTCAATGATTCATCAAGGTCGCATAAGTATTGGTATGAAATGCTTTTGGATGAACTGATCGAGACTTCAGGTTGTTGATAAAGATAGAGCGATGGAGATGGATTAGTTTACGTACCACTCGCCTGAATCTGTTGTGTTCATTTGTGAGCCATAACTTCATGTAGGCATTAGGCGGTTCAGAGGAAACCAGTAAATTCGGATACTGATTGTAAGTGGCAGCGATGTATGGTGATCGTTTGCCGCGATTCAGTCCTCCTTTAAGCGAGAATTTTCAGCGATTTCAAATTTTCCTTTTTGATGTGATCGTGTAAGCAGTAGAGCTTCTCCGACGTTCAGCTCATTCAAAATTGCTCGAGGCCATCAGCGAACCAAATTTTATTGCGACAAAATGGCTGAGTTGAATGAA